AGGCCCCTTCTGCGTCTGACTGTTCCCTGTTGGGGTGGGGGAGGGTTTAATAACCAGAAACGAGGACCACTGAAGGCTGAGGGTGCTACCCAAATAAGCATCTGCTTTGCTTCCAGTGAGGAGCTCTGGTAGTGTGATGCTGAAGGTGTTTGACCGCTTGTTAACCAGAAGCCTGGCACTTCAAACTCCCCAGCTTCTCCACGGAAGGAAGGTGGGGCATGCTGCCTCAGAAAACCAATGGGGGTTGCTATAAGTTGGAATCAACTCAATGGCAGTGATAATTTTTTTGGTTTTGCTTCCAATGTTTACCTTTTATAACTCAAAGGGAGAAAAACAACATAATCTTTAGAGAAAATACCTAAAATATGTACACATTTCTTTTTTTAAATATGTGACTTCATCCACAACTGTTTATAGAGCTCCTACTATGTGCCAGTTGGGGAGAAAGCTTGAAATATCTATCGATACTTTATTCTATGAATGATTCTGAGCAAGATGTCAGCCAGGCTGAGATTTTAATAACGGCCTGCCCACCAAGCACTAACTACGACACAAAATAGAACCTGGGGATGTCAGTGTCAGCTTCTACGCCTTTAGAACTCAGTGACTTTCTAAAGTGATGTTATAAATTAGGAGGATATTTTTAGCTTATTTTTCAATCGAAAGACTTTATGCTCATCTTAATATATTCAATTTCACTTTAAAGTTTCCTGATTAAAAAGATGAATTTTTCTCTTTGATGCTGCAGCCAAGTGTGAAAGTAGCAGCTCCCATTTCAGTGTAACATCAAATTCAAGGGCTAGTGTGTCACACTGTGTGGGCTGGTGTGTTGCTGTGAGGCTGGAGGCTGTGCTGCCCGTATTTGAAATCTCAGCAGGGTCACCCGTGTGGACAGGGTTCAGGGGAGCTTCCAGACTAGGACAGATGAGGGAGAAAGGCCTGGGGTCCTACTTTGGCAAATCTGCCAATGAAAACCCTCCGGACCACAACAGAATATTGTCCGACTTGTGCTGGCAGATGAGCCCCCTGGGTTGGAAGGCCCTATACAGTCAGTGGTCACAACAATGGTTGCCAATGATCTTGAAGATAACCCCGCACTGGGCTCCCCTTCATTCTGATGCACATGCGTGGGCTCACCATGGGTCGGAGCAGATTGAGGGCAACGGCAACATAACAAACAATGCAAGTCACCAGGCCCCACTGATTATTCATAAAGGCCTGGAGCTTGGCGCTGAGATGAGTAAGACACCCGGGTCCCCACCCCTGAGGAGCCCACAGCTTAGTGAAACGCAACCATGTTAGCAGGGTGAGGCAGTGCTTGGGTGGTCATAAAGAGAGCCTGCTAGGGGCGGCCCCAGAGAGCCTGGAAGGGGCAGATTTCACCGGGGAGAGCAGAGCCCATGTGGAGGGAATAGCAGTTGCAAAAGTGTGTGGGGAGGACAGTGCTCCGAGGAAGTTGGCTGGTGTAAGAGCCTGTTACAGTATGGGGATTCTGGATTTTACTCTCAGGTGGAGCCCGGGTGGCACAGTGGTTAAGCACGTGGATGCTAAATAGAAGGTCAGCAGTTCGAACCCACCAGTCTCTCCATGGGAGAAAGATGAGGCAATCTGCTTTTGTCAAGATTGACAGCCTTGGAAACCCAATTGGGGCAGTTCTACTCTGTCCTCTAGGGGCACTGTGAGTCAGGATTGACTCAAAGGCAATGGGTGTGATGGAAAAGGTGATGGGATGACAGTAGAGGTGGTTGAACAGCGGAGAGACATAAACAGACTCACAGTTTAGAAAGATTTTCTAGGGCAGAGAGAAGGTGGGCTGTGGAGAAAAGCAACTTGCCACAGTTCAGATGCCAGACGACCAAAGGGGATGGGTTGCTGTGGGGAGCTTGTGATGGGCCATTGAGTCAGGGGCTGACCAAGGGCCAGGAGAAGCTGAGGACAGCCCTCAAGTTCTGCCTGGCCTCCTGAGTGGATCTGCTACCAGGGTGGGGCTGGGCGGTGGGGTCCAGTGTTGGGCACACCTTGTTGCAGGTGTTAAGGGATCATCCAGGTGGACATGGTTAGGGCTGGCTGGAGGCACACAGTTGCCTGTGGAATGAGTCAAGAAAGAGGAAGTGCTTGGCTTGGAAAAGACCAGATGGCTGTCACTCCAACAGTGTGAAGCCTGGAAGGCAGGAGGGGTGGGACTGCCCTGGTGGCTGCAACAGAGCTCCGAAGGCAGCCGCTTTGGGAGTCACATTTCACTTTGGCCTTCCAAGAGTCAGTGCTGGGGGAAGAGGGAATGGGCGTGGCCACGAGGGCTCCTGCGGGTTTCTGTGGAGCTGTCCAGGCAAAAAGCCCTCTCTTCCTACTGCTGTAAGGCGCTCTGATGGCACTGTGGTTAGTGCACTGGGCTGCTGACCCAAAGGCTGGTGGTTCGAACCCACAGCTGCTCTGCAGGAGAAAAATGAGGCGGTCTGCTTATTTAAGATGCATAGCGTTGGAAACCCTATGGTGGTCACTATGTGTTGGAAATGACTTGATGGCAGTGGGTTTGGGTTTTTGGTCCTATTGCTGTGGGGGGCGCCCTGGTGGCTCAGTGATTAAAGTGCTCCAAGGGAAAGACAAGACCTGGTGATCCGCCCCCGTAGGGTTTTCATCCTGGGAAACCACAGAAGGCAGTTCCACTCAGCCCCACAGCTCCAGATCTTCCTACCCCTGCTCCCTTCCTTCCTGGCCTCGTCCTCTGGGGGGTGGGGATGTTGAGTGGCTGGCTGTGTTGCCTGCAGTGTTGCTGGCTGCTGGGACCCCTCGTGTGGGAGCGAGCTGTGCTCTGTAGGCTTCTAAGGCTGTGACTCTGTAGCAGGTCGTTAGGCCTGTCTTTGGAGGTGCTTTTGGATGGGTTCCAACCGCCAAGCATGTGGGCCACCCAGGGACTCAACTGTATTCATTAAAGCCAATCAACTAAGTAACGGAACTGCTCCTACCAGAGCATTGGCATTGGAAACACGGAAAGTGCTCTTCCCTTAAACCAGCGCCCGGTGGGTGGAACGCACAGGGGGAGATTTTTCCACTTGTCCCTACAGTCCCCCTCCCCCCGCTTAAACATAGGAATTAGCCCTGGCCTGGGATGCAGGCCTTAGTCAGGGGGGCACGCTGGCCTCAAGGAAGGGACCCGGGGCGGGCCACTTGTCTTGCTAGACATTCATCCAGACCTGCAGGTCACAAGTGGCCAGAGAGAGTCCTCGCCGAGGCAGTGGGGGTCCCCGGCGGTGCCCCACCTTCAGGACCTCCCTGAGCGTGGGCACGTTCCCTCCTTTCACCCCCTCATCACTCCATTCGAGTCCAGTCCTCCATTTTTGTTCGCTTTCTGTATCCCGAAAGAGTCCTGGTTACACAGTGATTAAAGCACTCGACTGCCAACCAAGGTCGGCTGTTCGAACCCACTCCCAGTAGCTCCCGGAGCAAGATGTGGCAATGTGCTTCCGCGAAGATTCCCAAACCAGAAGCCAGACTCCCAAATCAGAAGCCAGACGCACTGCCATCCAGTGGATTCCTAGTCCGAGCGGCCTCGTAGGACAGAGTAGAAGTGCCCCCAAAGGGCTGCCAAGGCTGTAAGCATTTACAGAAGCAGACTGCCTCGTCGCTCTCCCGCCGAGCGGCTGGTGGGTTCGAACCGCCGGCCTTTTTGGTTAGCAGCAGAACGCTTTAACCACTGCGTCACCAGAGCGCGACCTTGGAAAGCGTATGGGGGCAGTTCTACTCTGTGCTGTAGGGTCGCTAGCCATCGGAAGGAACTCGATGGCGCTGGATTGGGTTCTACACCTGCAGCGGCATTGAACTCGGTACCACGAAGGTGCAGATTCCAGAAGTCGGCGAGACGGGGCAGGGAACCTGGGGGAGGTCTCGGGTACGCTCTCCTCCTCCCGGACCCCTCAACCCAGTCCTCGGGGCGCTGACGGCTGCCCGCCCCCCCACTGCCAGGGTCAGACCTGTGCGG